AGCGCTGTCNCTTTTTGCCGTAAAGGACTACCCCTACAGGTCTCGAACACATCATGATTTCAGGTGCAAGCCGTCATCATGGTCCGCTCGGCGGTAAGTAAACACCGGTCTTAAATATAAACGGAAAATCGATCTTCATGCTGGTCATCGGCATTCTGATGTATGGCACAGGGCAACCACAGTAACAGCTTCTCCCAAGTTCTCTGCAGCCCGAGAATATGATGGAAGCGAAGCCGCGTGCACTCTCCCACTCGCCTGTCAAATGTGGAGGGACGATGACTGAATCGATCATTGAGTCCCGTTGTCTTACCTTTCCTGAACCCAGAGAGATACGGCCACCGCGGAGATCAGGTTCACATCGAAATATGACCGCCGATGATATGGAAATCGATGTACACTCTCAGATGAGACAATCTAGATCCAGACGTAGGAGGAATGTACAAGTAAGATGGCGCATGACTTAGGGCTTGGGGAAATTTTCCTGCAAACAGAATTAAGATGCCAGTCACGATGCCTCAAACAATCAAACTTGCTGCATGCCTACCCTAGGCAATTGAGTACACGGCTTCCCAATCTCTGCATACATAATCGGAGAAAACGTTCACGATCCTGACGGGGGTGTTAGAGCACATTAGCGATATGAACTAGTCCACTTACCCCGGACCCTTCCACGAAGTGACAGGTTCCACGCGAGTGTCAGCGAGACATAAAATGGACTGTCGCAGGTAGTTGAGGCAATGGAGAGATAGAGCGGAAGGGCCGTCCTGCGTGTTGTAGTCTTGTCGGATAACGTCCAGGCATCCTAGTTGGTGGAACATTGCGACGCTGTATGGTCCAGTGTAGTCTCCATCGAAGTCAACACGCAGTGAATGGCCCCAGTCGGGGACGAGCTTGCTCCACTCTTCGTCACTGTTCTCGCCTGCGCATTGATAGCGAAATGTATCCCCTATCTGCATTGCTACAGGGCGGGAGGATATGTCTTTGTACATATCCTGAATGAGAGCAGACGTATCCTCTGGGAATTTTAAATGAGAGCTGTCGACATAATCGAAGTAAAGGCGGATTAATCTTACCCTTGGGTGCCCATTGCTGGGCTAGGTGAACTGTCGACGAAATTACGACAGCAGAAAGAACAGCTCCTGCTGCAAGTACTCGCATCCAAGTTGCGCTCGCCGGGAATATGTCAGTACCGGGCATCGTGGTTGCAAACTACAAGAGGTTTAAGATGCACGACAGCATATTGGTGGTTGGGCGGTTACATAAATGCAGTCAGCAGAAGCGCACGTCGGGCGGTGCTTTGAATGGCTATAGCTGGCGATACGGTAATAGCCATATCTAGTCACTTGATAACGCAGCGCTCTGGGCACTCCTTCCCAACAACGACCCGCTCAAACGCCGGTATACTTACGAAATCGCGAGACACCAAATCTTATATTGCGTGTATTATTCTGAAATGCTTTCTCAGATATCACCCAGCCGAAGCCCCCGATTTTTATGACCCTGTGAATCGTTGGGTATTCCCAGGACCGTGCGATGATAGAGAAAATGCGAGTCGCATTCATCGCGAAGGTTTGCTGATTCCTTACCCAGGCCGCGATCAAGCAACCTGCGAATCAATCTCCGCCTCTCACCTGCCCCACAGACTCGCGATGGGACCAATAGTCTCAGCACCGCGCAGAACCGCACCTCCCTCGGGAAATATACCTACCTACCTACCTCTGAAAGAAACTGGAGTGTCCGGCGCCCGGAGCCGGACCGCAGTGCAGTGCAAAGCCTTCTCAAAAAACCACACCCGGCCCCAGCTGCTCGCCGTAACGGTCAACGCTGTCCAAAGGCACACCACCGCGCAGGTCCGTGGCGGTGTAATTTTCATGACAGGTCAGCAGCTGCTGGTTACTCGTCTCGAACTGGTGCACAGCAACTTATTCAGTTCTGGAAGCTTGCGAGGATATTGGTAATCCGCAGGATAAATACTTATAGTCTCCTTGACGGTATAAAAAGGGGTGTTTCCGTCGAGCATCGTCCCATTCCTCATCCTACCGAGGAGCATCCTTCATTGTACATCGACAAATCAAGATGAAGTCTTATTCTTACTACTTCATCTGTGCTGCCATCATCCTCATTCAAGTTCCGAATGTGCTTGGGACACCCATTCCACAGTGTGGCGATGAACCTGACGTTGGTGAGAATGGAATACCTTTCATCCCACAAAACATGTCCTCATCAGTATGACAGCCGATGAAGCTCCACCCCTTAATATTGCCTGCGGGTTTTGACCGCTGGTTTACGGAATCTCTCAAGTATGCCTTTCAGAGTGTGATGAATAAGAATATAAATGGACATATGCTGTCACTAGATTTTCGCGGCCCTGCTCGCTGAAACGTACCCCTGTCGCTATACAGAATTGACTTTCCCGATAAAATGTTGTATTCTTGCCATGAATGTGACAGATTAAGACACAATTTTATACCACTTACCCGGTACGATTGGGTGTGCATTGTAAATGCATACTACTACCTCGTATCATAGATCAGGGGACGTGATCAGCAAACAGTGACATGCTGGAGTCTTCAGCGTAGCGGCTTCCATTTAGTAAACTTTACGCTCCGACAAGGAAAGGAGTGGTGTCTTGTTTTCATGAATGAGCCTGTAAAATATCATGTAGAAAATGTAGTGCGACGGCAGTATCTTACTACCCTCGCCAGAGCTTGAATAATTATTTTGGTATCATATGATCACGAGTTGAATTTTCATCTGACTATCTGACAGTATGCTACACTCTGCTATACCTAAGCATCTGCAGATTTTGATATACAGACTCGGTACCATTACTTCCTGATGCTCCGGGTCAGCCGGTGTTCCCAGGTATCTCACTGCTTCACGGAGCATAGAGCGCTCAGAGTGCTTCGTGTCCAAACGTCTAGTTATATCCATGACGCTTCTCAACTTATCGCCTGCCACAGCCAGATGCTGAATTACCCGGAGCGGAGTTAAAGTACCGCTCCGATGACCACATTCATATCCCCGTACAATTACAGATATGGCTCCTTGCATGCCAAACATCTCACAGCTCGCGGTTACAATGCCTAGTACCATCACCCTCGTAAGAAGCTCGTCTTTGGTGCGAGTACTTGCAGCAGGACTTGTGATTTCTTCTGTAATAGTTTTGTCCAAGGTCTACCTCATCCAGCAATGGGTTACACAAGGTAACATTATACGCCTTCTTCCCGAGTCGACGGAACCAGCCGCTGTAATGAGAGGAATTTCCCCAAGCCCTAAGTCATGCGCCATCTTACTTGTACATTCCTCCTACGTCTGGATCTAGATTGTCTCATCTGAGAGTGTACATCGATTTCCATATCATCGGCGGTCATATTTCGATGTGAACCTGATCTCCGCGGTGGCCGTATCTCTCTGGGTTCAGGAAAGGTAAGACAACGGGACTCAATGATCGATTCAGTCATCGTCCCTCCACATTTGACAGGCGAGTGGGAGAGTGCACGCGGCTTCGCTTCCATCATATTCTCGGGCTGCAGAGAACTTGGGAGAAGCTGTTACTGTGGTTGCCCTGTGCCATACATCAGAATGCCGATGACCAGCATGAAGATCGATTTTCCGTTTATATTTAAGACCGGTGTTTACTTACCGCCGAGCGGACCATGATGACGGCTTGCACCTGAAATCATGATGTGTTCGAGACCTGTAGGGGTAGTCCTTTACGGCAAAAGAGACAGCGCTGGTAACACGCTTTCACTTCTCATCC